GTAGCATTGGGTACCGCTAGCATTAGGTACTGTTAGCATTAGGTAGCATTAGGTACTGTTAGCATTAGGTAGCATTGGGTACCGCTAGCATTAGGTACTGTTAGCATTAGGTAGCATTAGGTACTGTTAGCATTAGGTAGCATTGGGTACCGCTAGCATTAGGTACTGTTAGCATTAGGTAGCATTAGGAACTATTAGCAATAGGTAGCATTAGGTACCCAGCATTATAGGTACTGGTAGAATTAGGCACTGTTGAAATTTGGTAGCATTAGGTAGCATTAGGTACTGTTAGCATCAGGTAGCATTGGGTACCGCTAGCATTAGGTATTGTTAGCATTAGGTAGCTTCAGCATTAGAGGTACTGGTAGCGTTAGGTACTGTTGAAATTTGGTAGCATTGGGTACCGTTAGCATTGGTTAGCATTAGGTCCCGTTAGGATTAGGTAGCATTGGGTACTGCTAGAATTAGATACTGTTAGCATTAGGTAGCATTAGGTAATGTTAGCATTGGGTAGCATTGGGCACCGCTAGCATTGGGTAGCAATGGGTACCGCTAGCATTAGGTACTGTTAGCATTAGGTAGCATTAGGAACTATTAGCATTAGGTAGCATTAGATACTGTTAACATTAGGCAGCATCAGGTACCGCTCGCATTAGGTACTGTTATCAAAAGGTGACATTAGGTACAGTTAGCATTAGAAAGAGTTAGGTAATTTTAGCAATAGGTAGCGTTAGGTGCAGTTAGCATTAGGTAGCGTTAGCTTAAGTTAGCAGTAGGTAGCGTTAGGTGCAGTTAGCATTAGATAGCGTCAGGTGCAGTTAGCATTAGGTAGCTTTAGTATTATGTAGCGTTAGGGAAAGTTCGCATTATATAGCATTTAGTTCTGTTATTGTTAGGTACTATTAGCGTTAGGAAGCGTTAGGTAAAGTTAGCATTATATAGCATTAGGTACTGTTAGCATTTAGTTCTTTATCGTTAGGTACTATTAGCGTTAGGCGTTGGGTAAAGTTCGCATTGTCTGATATAAGAAGTTCTAGAGGAGCAGAACCAGAACCCTCCTGGACCCGGTCACCTCTTTATGAGAGTCTTTGTGAGCCTCCAGGGTCTTCATGATGGTCAGCTCGGCGTAGTTCCTGAAGCGGACCGGCTGGTTCCTCAGGATCTCCTTCAGAACTCGCAGAGCCAGAGCCCTGATGGTGTGCTGCTCAGAGATGGAAACAAAGAACACATTCAGCGGATACCGGCCCAAAGCCCCGATCCAGTCCTCATTTCTCTGGTGACTCTCAGAACTGCTGGACCTTCTGGGACTGAGTCAATAGAGCTACTGGTAGAGAAGACCTGGAAAGGAGGACTGGCCCAGTTTAACCAGTGAGGGGAACAGGAGTGGGAACCAGAACCCAGTTAACCTACGTCTTTATCACACAGCGTCTCCAGCAGCAGCAGCAGGATGGTCTTAAAGTGCTCGTCCCACACCGCCGCGTTGTCCTCGCGTGTGATCTTCAGCAGCTCCACCAGGGCTCCTTTACGCTCCTCACAGCGCTCGTTGTGATTGGACAGCTCCTTCAGCAGGTCAGCCACCAGGTCCGAGTTATCGGGACCGACTGCTCGGACGGGAGAGGACGAAACAGAAGGTATCAGATGAAGCTGTTAGTCAGGCAGGTGAGCAGAAAGTGGGTGGAGTCACAGGACGATGGAGGGACAGACGAGGGAAGGAGAGGCGGAGTCAGGGAGCGTGTTTACCCGGAGGAAAGGCTTTGGGAAGACTGGTCTGGATTCCTCCTGATTCCGGCCGCCGGCCTGCGGAAGAGGAGGAGGATGAAGGTGGAGGATGGGAGGGGGGAGCAACAGACAGCAAGATGGAGACATCGATTCTGATGGACCCAAAACAAAGGTTCTGATGGACCCAAAACAAAGGTTCTGATGGACCTAAAACTAAAGGTTCTGATGGACCCAAAACAAAGGTTCTGATGGACCTAAACCAAAGGTTCTGATGGAACCAAAACAAAGGTTCTGATGGACCTAAAACACATGTTCTGATGGAACCAAACCAAAGGTTCTAATGGACCTAAAACTAAAGGTTCTGATGGACCTAAAACACATGTTCTGATGGAACCAAACCAAAGGTTCTAATGGACCTAAAACTAAAGGTTCTGATGGACCTAAAACACATGTTCTGATGGAACCAAACCAAAGGTTCTAATGGACCTAAAACTAAAGGTT